CCTCAGCGCGCGTTTCCATAGATTGTGGTACATGCAAGTTCATTTCGTCGCCGTCAAAATCAGCATTGTAAGGTGAAGTACAGGATAAATTCATACGGAATGTAGACCAGGGCAATACTTTTACACGATGGCCCATCATACTCATTTTATGCAAAGTTGGCTGACGATTGAAAATAACCAAATCGTCATCACGTAAATGCCTTTCTACTTTGTAGCCACATTGTAAATGCAAATCTGATGGCTTGGGATGGAAACGTAAATCTATACGTTCGCCGTTATCACGTACAATGTATTTTGCACCAGGGTATTGTGAATTACCTCGACGTACTAGCTCCTGCATACGATCGATATTAAAAGGCGTCACCAGTTCTGGAAATGTTAGATTTTGTGCAATGGAACGCGGCACACCGACTTGGTCAATACGCAAGTTGGGATCTGGTGTGATGACAGTACGTGCCGAGAAGTCGACACGCTTACCCATCAAATTACCACGAATACGACCTTCTTTGCCCTTCAAGCGCGCTTTAAGAGCTTTGAGTGGTTTTCCAGATTTTTGCATAGCACGGGGCATACCAGGCATGTCGTTGTCCACCAACGTTGCGACATGGAATTGCAGCATTTTTATATTCTCTTGAATAACATGCGCTGCTGCGCCTGTGCCCTCGTTCTTCTTCAATTCATTATTGGCTTTAATAATATCAGCCAACTTGTGTGTTAAATCGTCCTGATTCTTAGCTGCACCAAACATAACGACTGCCGGTCGTACCGATAGTGGTGGAACGGGTAACACAGTTACAATCATCCAATCGGGACGTGCATATTTGGGATCCATGCCCAGAATGAAACATTCTTCATCTGTTATGTGTTTCAGTATTTCCCAAACACGCTCTGCAGAAACTACAATTTTCTTTTCCTATTTTATTGAGAAAAATGCATATTTTATTAAGAAAATTTAGGTTTATGCATTTTCTCATGATCACCTGCGAATCCTCATTTACATGCTTCCATTCAGCCGTTAACTCTAACCCGCTACGTCTAAGTGATGGTTGATAATGACCACAGCCACCGTGGCCTTGCTTTTTATTGGGATCCGCCTGTTGTCCATCTTTTGCCATATCCATATCCTCTCCACCCTCGCACACAGTTTTACCCTTACATAAATCGTACACATATGCCAGACGCTTACGTGGCTGTCCCTTCGATTTCATCACAATCTCCTTTATTTTTGGATTTTGTGGCGATACTAACATTTTAGAGCAGTAAAAGCACAACAACGCAATATCTTTATAGTCTTTGTTATAAAACCAATGTGAAAAACTGGTTTGGACAAGTCGATATGTCCAAAATGTCCGGGGCACTCCGTCATATTGCCAGCGCAGTTTGACAACGAGACGTTCGATCGATTACACCTTGACGTGGGTCCATTAGACCACCCAATTTGGGTCGGCCACCTTCCATTGTCTCAGCAAACTGTACGCCACCTTCTGTGACGGACATTCGACGCTAAGATAGTAAAAATTATAGAAGTTGCACTTACATAGGAATGGATATGTGAAATCGCTACTTACGATTTCATCAGGTGACAAATATACCGAACTGCACCCGTTTTACTTGGCGCAAGGGCGCCTTGGAGTCATTAGTCGACATAATTATAGTCTACTTTTTTCCCAATAACAAAATTTTTCTTTATTAAAAACCTATAAAATTACCAAAAGGGTGCTCCCCTAAAGGCCGGAGTCTCCGACTGTGGCACACTCGACACGATGCGTTTTTTCTATCGCCTCGTTCGTTATCGACGTCGCAGTTTCTTATGGTGAAATTTGCAAAATTTTCAAACACACATTAAGGTCCTAAAATACACAGTTGTCGCCCAAAAATCTGTGGGCGCAAGTGCCGCGACACTTCAGCTACAATTTAAAGTGCTTTTTGTTTATTATTTTGCCGAACTGACGCTTATTTAACAAGGAAAAGATTGCAGCAGGTTCAATAGATGACTTTTTCCTGTGGCAAAAAGAAGCGAGTATTTCCCGCGGCCCAAAGTTGTATTTAATTTCCTATGCCACGCAGAGTTGTATTATCGAAGTATTGAATATAAGAAATTCCTAAAGGTGTTCTTACACGATATGTATTTGCGTCTGTACATGTGATTTTTTCAATACGTATGTAATTGCGTATGTCTGTCAAATTCCCAGTCTTTATTTAACTATTTAAAATTTCATTCTATGAAAACGAAATAAACTAAACTCAGATGATTCTATCTGTGTGTCAGATGAATATAGAAACATTTATATTTCGTAAGTACGTGCATCTGCTTTGTACAGAAACAAATTTAATTTGCCTTTACACGATATGTTGGCATTGCCATATGTAAAAAGTGGCATGTGTTCATGCAAATACATATCTTGTAAGAACACCTTTAAAGCCCATATATAGTTGTGTTGGGTTGATTTAAATAATAGTAGGGGTCTTCATATAAAGGCTGCGTTTCTTTATACATTCCGGATAATCCCATTTCACAGCCGGAATAAACAGAATACGTTTGAAATATACGTTAACATATCATCAGGAACGTTCTAAAGAATAAGTAAACAAAAAAGTTTATTCCAAACGTTCAGAATGAATAAAGAAATGCAGCCAAAGTGATAAAGGGATAAATTGCTTAAATTTATCAGTTTATCCGCTTTCTTTCTGGAATGTACCTTAGTAAAAAATTGCACAAATTTTTTTATTATTTAACTTATCTGGCTAGTTACCTTTCATTCTTACCTCGTCCATTGTGCAAATTTTCTTTTTGTGTTCGTAACAAAATGTACCACCTGGCAACTTTTCAAAGTGGAATTTTGCTGAAATTTATGCGTTTATCCACCAAAATGGTTTGATAAAGTGATAAACTTTGGTTAAATAGGTTTCCATACAAAGTTTGACAGTTCATTTATTAAAATTATAAATTTATCACTTTATAAAGTTTATCAAGAGTTTAACACTTTTGATGAAGACCCTAGTACGTGTTTTGAGTAGTAATTGGCAATGGTAACACTGTTGTTTCATAATGGAGATAAAATACCACCACTGAACATACCCCTCATAAAATGTAAATAAATAGTGAAGTATCGAGTTTTTGCAAGATATTTTAGATTTTTGGCCATGTCTGAATCGACAACACTGCCAGTAGAGTCGACTAGGGCCGAAGAGGACTCCAAATATAGAATAAAAGGTGATAAATAGTAAAACAAAAACATACACAAAATTTGACCTCTAACTTTTCTCATGTCACGTCGTAATAGCGGCCGCGTTCCTGGGGCTGGTTGGTGGTGTATCAGCAATCTTCGGGTTTTCTAAAACGCTTGGAAAAGCAAAAGAGTCACAAGGCAAATTGGTAGCGAAAGGTGGGCGCGACACAGCGGTATTACTCGAAGAAGGCTCGGTGTTGGCAATGCGCGCCTTTGGATGGGGTAGTTTATACGCAGTTCTGGGTACTAGTGTCTTTTGTTATGGCTTTTGGAAGTTATCGGGAGCAAAAGACGTGAGTCATTTAAAAAAAAATCTTTGAACTGATGTAACTAAATTTCCTTAAATTAAATAGATGGAGGAGTTTCGCACAAAGATGGGCAATGGTTTGCCAAGGATTACAAAAGATACTCCCCCCACAAGTCGTACTGAGTTCGATTCTCTCACAGACTTCATGAAATATTTAGGTTCCGGTTGCAGAGAATAACGTTATAAAAGTACACGATTCAGTTATTAAAGGTTTGCTCACTAGCCGCAAAGTTTTACTGCTAATGTTAACTTCTATACAAGCAATTTACGACGATTGCATTCACCATAACTTAATACAAAATATATTATTTTCTTAAATTCAAAATGTTGAAATTATATATATGCCAAATTCTCATCAATTTTTCGTTCCCTTTTAAGAATTGTTTTGTATTCGCATACTTCAATCAGGTTTGTTAGATCCGTTTGAAATTTTTCACAATCATCTTCAAGAAAGATATACGCTTTTTGTCGAAACTCGACTGAATTGCGTAAAAATCGCTGTAAATCTGGAGCCTTTTCTAAATAAGCACGCTTTTCAGCTGACAAAATCGTAGTATCGATGACTGGATGAGGCTTAAGTTTAAAAGCTTTTAATTGTTTCATTGAATCACGCCAAAGAGTACTCCATTGTTTAATCTCTTCCTTAAGACGGGCTTCGTGGCTAACACCAAAACGGAGTATTAAATATATTCCAATGTCTGTAGGAAATACCATGTACATACCTTTTGATGTCGAGACTTTCATGATTCTCCAGGCCTAATATAAACCAACAAAAATGTGATATGCCTAGTACCCAATCAAAGATTAAACATGCATACATACCATCGTCCAAAGTTAAATGGAAAATGCTCTTGGTTGCGTTTGTTGTGCCATGTGAGGCTTGATTGACCATAGATTCCTCTAGCTCCACGGTAGTCTCCGCTTCCGTATCTGTTAAAATTATGGCTTGCATTCTATTGCTTATTTTTGTTGAAAAGTATATCAAATGAGCAAATCAAAATAGACAAATTTGTTTCGCGCTTGTTTGAATTACTTCTTTGTGATCGGAGAACGTAAATTTATAGAGAAGGACTGAAAACTGTGAATGCCACATAAATTTACGTTCTCTGGATCTTGGTGCTGCCAGATGATGAAAATAGTAGAATAAAGTCGCGGGTTTTGATTGAAAATTTTTACTTTATATTGAAATACTGTTTTACATAAAATAAGAACCCCTAGCAAAGTACTGATTTTAATCAAAATTTTATTATTTATCGAATTATCGATTTTTATAAAAAAGAGCCGCAGGTGAAATTTTTATAAAAAACTTTCTTTCTATTTGTAATACCATTTATTCATTTCATTTCATTCATTTATAACGAGTTGTCTCTTTTCAGGCGCACGCCCTGTTACTCACTTTCGCTACATTTATAACGAGTTGTCCCTTCTTGTTATCTACGTTCTTTGATATAACTTTAATATAAATATGTACATATATAGCAAGAATAATTTACGATTTCTCAGAATGAATTATATTAAGTAATTAACCAATTTAAAGAATAAAAATCGACTCAACAAAAAGCCATCGGCATTTCGTTGTCTAACAAGACAAAAAATCCATGCGCCACCGTGTTGCCAATTAGTGTAGCAGCGCCAGTAGCACCACCCTCGGTATCAGCGCAATGGCTCAATGCCGCGGTGCGCTACCCAGCACTAATCTTACCCTCCAGCGAAAAATTTGCGATTTGTTTATATGGATATGGAAACAAATTAAAAAAATGGAATTTCGTGTGTTAGAGCTTTTTAGCGGTATAGGCGGTATGCATTTTGCTTTCACTTGTAAGTGTCGCACTTGATATTATTTGAATCAATATTTCAAACTAACCTCGCTTTATCAGCCGCTGCATTGCCAGGCACTGTTGTCGCAGCGATGGACATCAACACACACGCCAATGCAGTGTACGCCCACAACTTTCCAACAACATCGGTATGCAATAACAATATACAGAGCTTAACACCCAACAAAATTAAAAAGATGAATGTAAATATGATACTCATGTCTCCACCATGCCAACCGCACACCCGAGTTGGGAATCGCTTAGATATTGCTGATAATCGGTCAGATGCATTACAACATATCTGTAACTTGTTACCTCAGTGTTCAGGCATAGAATACGTACTTATGGAAAATGTCAAAGGTTTTGAAAGTTCACTTGCCCATGGACATTTGTTGCAAGCACTGCGCCTGGCAGGGTATAATTGGCGAGAATTCATTCTTAGCCCAATCCAACTTGGAATACCCAATTCTCGAAATCGTTATTATTGCTTAGCTCGTAAAAAGGATTTTTGCTTTGATGGTAAACATATTTTGGAGGAAATACCAACAGAGCTAAAAGGGTCCATTTCAAATGTAATAACGATAAGCAGTTTACTAGAGTCGGAAGCCTCAATTGCCCCTGAACATAATTTGCCCGATAAAATACTGAGCAAGCGAGTATGGCTCATGGATATAGTAAATGATGAAGCAAAAAAGACAATGTGTTTTACGAAGGGTTATACTCACTACAGCGAGGGAACTGGTTCGGTTTATACTCCTTTGGGGAAAAAGGATATGGATACAATTTTCGAAAAGGTTAAAGAATTAGAAAGTAATGGCGACACAGAAGAGATACGTTTGAAACTGCTAAAAAGTTTAAGACTGCGCTATTTTACCCCAAGAGAAGTTGCAAGACTGATGAGCTTTCCCAATACTTTTGAATTCCCAGAGGAAACTACAAATCGTCAAAAATACAGGCTTTTAGGCAATAGTATAAATGTATTCGTTGTGAGTGTATTATTAAAAATATTATGCTCCTGAAGTTCTTTTTTTTTTAATTGCTTTCAGGTGATATGTATGTAATTCTTTTAACTTATCTTTTATTTGATATGTATGTAGTTCTTTCAACTTATCTTTTGTTTTCCTAAGTTAGATTGAGATCCCTGAAAGGGAGTGCTTTGTCATTTAAACAATCAATTGCAGCGGAAGAAATATTTTTAAAAGTACAATAAGCAAAGGATTCGGAGCTTAACATTTTGTTTATTATATTAATTGAAATTAAATTACACTTCATTTTTTAAGGGTCAGCAAAATCTTATAATGCATTCTTGGGGCCCACCCTTAAGCAAATTATTTACATTTGCATAATTTATAAGATGAAAATGCATTGTTTATAAACTAAAATAAAAATGTTTCACTACATATTTTCATTAAACATATATACGTTTTTATCGCTCCACCAATTGCGTTGAGCAGCTCACACCGATCAAGCTGTCCTTCAGCTTACATTATCTGCAAACCTTTTAAACCATAACTTTAGCCGTCCTTTAGCTCATTTCCCCACTCCTTTGCTATCATATAAATAGCATTTTGGTTTAATTTTGGTCCTAGCAAAGGATTCATTTGTGCCATGTAACAACATAGCCAGAAAAGCCAGCAAGTCGCTGCAGTTAGCATCATAATACAACGGAAGAGGCTTTGATGAGGGCCCTTCGGAGTCATCATAGGAACACCAATGCCAACACATGCCCATAAGGCAGTGAAGAACAGTACCGGAAAGAATGCTGCGCCCATTGCTTCGATAAATTATTTTTTCACGATTTAATTGAATCACAAAGGAAGCTATGAATAAAAATCAATACACAATGCATGACATTTCGTACTGTCATTTCACCAATGCTGCCAAATTTCAAGAGTGGTTACGTTCAGTGCCGAACTATAGATGACGCTGTTACCCCATTAACCAAAAATACAAGATCACGCAAGAACGCGACTTGTATTTGTAACTGGTTTGAGAAAAAAGTTAACTCCTTGGGGTATTTGTATGCTGTTAAAACAACAACAACAAGACGATACAATGAAAACGTTGTCGCAAACAAAATGGCTCAATTTGATTGGTCAAAAATCAGCTGGTTTGACTTCGTTGCATACATTTTTGTTGTTGTTTTGCCGATATGTATGCGGCAAAGCTGAGAGTAGGGCAATTTTTACCTATTTATTAATGCCGTAAAGCATGCGATGCCAATGTAGAGTCTTCTATCCAAAATCACATAGTCAACTTAGATGTCAGTTGTTGTTGTTGTTGTAGCGGCTACAACAACCCCGCCCAGATCGGTTGGTATCTCAGTCGTTGTCGTCAAGTTCCACTAACGGCAACCCTAGGAAGCGTGCAGCTTCTGNTAGATCGCCGAAACAACAGCCCTTGGTCGGGTGAAACCCGAGTCATTCCGGTACGTAGAACCGGCTGTCGTGGGAATGCTTAGATGTCAGTCAAAAGCATCGCTGTGACGCAGAAAAGAATTTCTATCTTGCGCGGCAATCGTACCGAAAACTAGCTTAATGCAACTCTGCTCCAAGGCGTGGTTTGGAACAAAACTGTCAATTGCATTTGTCATTCTTTGATCAGAAATTGGTTAATCGTGAAGAAAACACGTTTTCTCACTGCAAAGCAAATTCACAACTGTCAACTCATTGTTCTTCGCCATATTCTTTGTTTACCCGTTGCCACAAATGTCATTCTGCGGAAATGCGCATTCTATCGTTCTTGTTTAAGTGTTGGGAGAGCACCTGGTTTTAGAAACATCCGACCAACGTCGGACAACTCAAAATGTCCACACACACAAAGGAGTTGTGCGGCGGATTATCCTTTATGCGGAGATTCTCCCTCCATTTGGCCACCTCACTTGCGTCCTTGGGGAACGAAAAAAGCCGCCTCTCGCTATTTTCGTTAATGCAATTTTTTACACGGCACTTTCGCTCACGGCTCATTTTTATAAAGCTATATAATTCACGTAATTACGTAATATAATCACACTTTTGTTTACAAAAATCTCGAACGAGTTCTCAAGAACGATTCACGATTCAGACGAATCACCAAAGAACGATTTAATTTACGATTTAAAGAACGATTGTAATGTAAATATGTGCAAAAGTTGCTTGCTTGCTTTTTCGTTTAATTAATTAGTTGGAAATGGGAATTACAGTTACAAGGAATGGGATATTAGTTGTGTTTTTTTACAAATTAGGGTGGGCTTTAGATTGCTAACCCCGGAGTTCAGCATTAAGGAAA